TCTTACAGAACCTCTGTGGAGGGACACGTACTTGGCCTTCCACAAAATTTCTAATTGGCCAATAGGTGTTATCAATACAAGCTTTGAGAAAATGGCTAAAGCTGCTCTGCAGTGCTGCATGGAGCCAGCCTGGGTATGCCACAATGCAGCACAGGCACACTACCTTCAGATAATGGAGTCAAAACTATGAGCCTCAGAGTCAGCACCAAGCAGAGCATGACATAGAAGTTTATGTAGATTATCAGTGAAGATTCCAGGAAATTCAGACTACTCAACACAGTCACTCAACTGTTGTATTCATTATTCACTAGAAATCAACATCTCTGCTCTACTCATTAATGCCCCAGAACATGCTACTCAACAATAGAGTACCTCATATGGTAAAAGCTTGTAAACACAACAGTATCCTGCAGTGCAGTATCACACATTCTCTACCTCTTTCTTTCATATGGCCAGTGATTTGTTTCTTTTGTCAAACTTTATTAAAATTATAATCTGAAACTACTCAAAATAGCACTTAAGAAGGCTTTTAAAACATTTTAATCATCCTTGTGCCTCATATCATTAGAAGATAAAAAGGTATAAAAACAACCATCAGCAGTTATTTGCAGTATTCCTAAACACCACAGAGGAAATAACAGCATCAGCTTAATCATCAGTCAAACCTCTCTGCTTTCGATCAAATCATTCTGTATCTAATGATATCAGCACTGCTGGTGGCACAGGCTGTTATTAGTTGACATACTGCCTCAGCTTATTCTTAGACATTTGGATCACCCATTGCAGCAATGGAAATCGAAACTCTAAACTGTTCTCCAAAGAAGGTTCTATGTGAAGGAAGAGTTGCATCGACTGAATGACACAAATCTGCTATGAAAGCTGAAGTTCTATGTGCATGCTACATATGAAGTGGTGGGGACTTAACACAACTTTTGAAAAATAACTATGGATACATATCCAGTGACTATCTATCTTGAAATAAAAAAACAGCTTTTCACCAAAAGTAAAAAAAGAAACCACACACACACACTGAGAACACCACCATCTTAAAGCTGAAAATAGACAGTGCTTTTTTCCCCCCAAGATTAAGCCTCAAGAATTTTCCATCCATTAATCAATATAAATTATGCCTTCCTATGCATTTCCTATTATATCTCTCATATTCATAACACAGAAAGTTACAAAGAGTGTACAAAAATAACTACGCATGAGTTCTAAAAAATGCCTCTGACCAGTAGTATTGCCCCATTCCTATAAGTGACCAATTCTCTCATAAAAAATGTAGCTACCCAATCTGCTCAGAATCACACAGTGAAGTCTACGGCAAGAAGAGCAACTGAACCCAAAAATGCTGATAGGTTTATCCACGACATTTTCCTTGGATTCAGAAAAATCATGGTGACCAAAATGAAGTTTAGATAATAACAGGAGTGTTTGAGTTCTGAAGAAAATAAAAAACAATCCCATTTGCAATTTCTATCAGGGCTGCTAAACATTTATATATTGTTCCAA